CAGTATCACCATCATCTTCATCAGATTTTGTCATGTCGTCACCATTGATGTTCTCGTCTGCATCATCATCACTTCCCTGCCCATCCACAAATGACGCACCGTTGTGCAAATACCTGCCATCCTCCTGTATAATCATGTCTAGTACAGGAACCTTTGACGACTTCCGTGCATTCACCCCTGCAATGACTTCATGCCTGGATATAACAGCATTTGATGTCGATTGAGTAGCATTAGCGTCAAAGCATTCCTCAATGTATACCTCCAGCGACGACATATCCTCCATCTGAATTATGCCCCACATATTTGTTATAGCTAGCTCATCAATGAGGGGCATAAGCATGTACTTTCCCCCGTTCATGGGAAATTTCATTTTCAACCGCAACGAACGGTTTGGATGAATCATTGTGGCTGCATGTATTTTTTGAAGGATCTCGAGCATGCAAGCGCCACGAGAAACCATGACAAAGCTGGTTCTACCACCTTCATGGCATATTTGCCCAGCATCCTCATAATAGTTCCCTCCCCAATGACACACGATTGGGAAGCTTGAGAAATTCATATTCTAATAACAATTCATTGTCCAACTTTCATGAGTACACATCAATATACACACTTTATACACATTCAAATTTTCAATACAAATAACTACCAAAATTGATACATATCCAAAAGTCAAAATTCACAAACAATTCACATTTCAATATGAAACTACCAAAATTTTGATATCTACATTCACATCTACCTTTCAATACCCAAATTTAGCAACATTCAAGTCTACCAAAATGACCAAATGTCAAAATACACATTAAAATTTACAATCAATTTAAAATCAAATTTTAACATTTCATACATATCCACATTTCACAACAACTTAATTCACAATCAATTCATAATCCAAAAAAACAAAAATTTTAAGATTCAAAACCCTAAGTAAAAATTGAGATGAAATGAAGTATGATTTACCTACAAGAAAGAAGAAGAAAGAGTGTTGCAGAAGAAGATGAAGGTTTGCCGGAGTGTGGAGGCCGGAGATGGAGCTTCGCCGGAGTTGGAAATGAGCTCCGTGGTCTTCGTCGGTCGTGTTCGTCGTTCGCTGGGTTTTGGGGGGATTTGGGATGGTTTACGCAGTGTTCTGTTTTTGGGGCGAGACCCGATTTTTACTTAAGGGTAAGTCGCCCAACCGTTGGGCGACTTATAAGTCGCCAAACGGTTTGGCGACTTATAAGTCGGCCAACGGTTGGGCGACTTACCCCGACCATGGTTAATCCAGCAGTATTTTGGTAAATACTTTTAATCTGACCCTATTTTCGTAATTAATTAATTAATTAACATTAATACGGAAAAAAACTCAGTCAAATAATTAATTTTTCCAGATAGTTTAATTTCATATAAATTTTAAGCTCAGTCAATTAATCTAGAAACTTCTAAAAGTTTAAAACAAAATTTGAACCGATTACCTCTTTTTCAGGAACTTCAGCCTATAAAAGTTTTGGAGGCTTCTATTTTCCATACAAATCAGCCTAATAGTCAGCTACAGTTCAAATGCAAGAAAAATAACCAAACAGGCCGTATTTAGTTTCTTTCCCAAAACGTGAAAGAAAGAAAAAGGAGTAAAAAAACAATCAAAGAGTATCGATGTAATAATCTCGCACGCTCCGTTTTAGTCTTTTAGCGAGGGCGGAAGTAGCTTTAGCCTTTGACAGTCAACCACATCTCTGAAGGCCGATGGTCCGCCCTTGTTTGATTTTTGGACTGCTGTCAAGCTCGTCTTCGGCGGTCTTTTAGTCTTTATGCAGAGCGCCTGAATCTACGAAGTATTCGTTTCTTCAGTTCCGGCGGTTGTCGAACTCGGGCGCTATTTTCTTTGTTAGTGGCCTTGGACGGATCCAGATTATCAGGCGAGATTCATTCCTTTTATGTACTGTTGTTTTGGGATTTCGTGTTTGGGTCTTGTACGGACGATGTGTTTTTATGTTTCTTCCTTTGGATGATGGTGTGCGTTGACGGAAGAGGATGTTGGTTCTGGAATTCTGAACATTTGCGTACTACTTGCTGCCGGTACCATACTACCATCCCCTCAATGTTACTGTCCGCACCACCCTCCTCACCTAATGAAACACAAGCAAGCATCATGTCACACTTTTGGCAACAGTAACCACCACCCCTTCGACCAATAGGAGGCCACATAAATTTGGTCTTCCTATACGCACCTCCTTCTCCAGCCAATAGGAATACTTCCCCAAAAAATTCAAGTGTGGGCCGAACCCATATCCTCGGTTGTAATTTTTGACCAAATAAAATACGGAGTACTCAGAACTGAAGTTGACACATCTGAGCGGGAATACTGTTCGTCCAACATCTTTTCCTTTTAGATTATAGAAGATTCTCAACTACGTACCTGCCACATACTTTCAATAAAGTAGTCAATGTTTAGTACTCGTAGTTTACAAATAAATAAAGCCAAATGTGGCTAGCCATTGATAATGCCCGATAAATTAGTCATGATTTTTTTTTTGCAGATCGTGGATTGTGTTTTGCAAGGCGGGAACAGTTTTGCATCTCACGATTCTATTTTTAAATATATATAAAGTTATGTGTATCACAATTCACAAATCTATAAAAATATACCAATGCATTCAACGCTAGGACATAAAATTGAAAAACTAGAAACAATTACGAACCCAAATGCGTAACAAATACCAAATTAATTATTAATTCAAGAAGAGGGTCATGGGATAAAAAGAAGAGTGCACATTTGAAAAGAAATGACTGCTCGTAATTAAAAAAAGTGTCAGTTGAGACTTCAAGGAATTGAGAGAGATCTTCTTCCAAAAAAAAGGAATTGAGAGAGTTCTTCAAAATGGAGAAAAGAGAAAATAATGAGAATGAGAGCGCATTGAAATGTCAAAGGAGAACAAAGACGAGTAGGAGGTCCATGAGAGAGAGTAAATGAAAGGAAGAAAAAAAGGGGGTCCATGAGAGAGAGTAAATGCAAGGAAGGAAAAAAGGGATAAAAAGAAAAAGTAAATTTTTAGATACAAAGAGCAATCGAGGCAATATGAATGTAGGCAGAAGGAAATTAATGGGCGACTTGGGGAGCGGCGACAAGTAAAACCGTAGCCGCCGCTCCTCTCTTTTCTTCCTCTCAATTAGTTTTCTCCTCTTAAAGACAAAAAATTATCTATTTCATAAGTATTTTCAAGATATTTTATGTGATTTCTTCCTACCAATGTATAGGGATTGTGTATTCCTTGTCGGTGAAACCGATCGGGGTTAAAATTTCATTGTTGGTGGATGTCAATGCTTATTCTACGTGATTTGTTTGAGAGGTTAACTTCAAACATTGACGACTCCAAGACCTCAAGTATTCTCCCTCCTCTTGAACCACCGTCGTGCTATGAGAGAAAGAGAACGTTCAAACTGATGATATATGCAAGTTCTTCCCAGTAGCTCATCAAACTGAGGATTCTAGTTGTTTCTTTCTGGTGACTGAACAAACCAGATTTTCTATTATTTTCTTGTCGGTGGATTGTGAAACCGATTTATATGTTTGTTTTCTGTCACAGATCAGTACTTTTTCTAGTATTTGTTAAGTCCCAAGAGCTTCTATATTGATATAGAAGTCTACATCTTTGCGGGATTAACGAATTGTTATGTTCTTTTAGAACTTTTCAATTCTATGTCTCATCACTCATCACATTCTAACCTTAGGTTATGAAGATTACTTTTGTACTAATTTTTTTAAAGGTACTGATTATTTTTATTATTAACACATACTTCCTCCGTTCTTTAATTCTTGCAACATTAAGATTTATGCACTATTTACATACCTTACTTTGATCACAATTTTCTACTTATATACATAATCAAATTACTACGTATAAAATGCTATTGAATTCCTATCAATGTGAATTTCCAAAATATCAACTTGTTTACTAATACATAATTAAATATAACGGAAATTGTCCTAAATAGGACTAAAAAGTTCCTAAAAAGCACAAATAGGACTACTATTTTTAAAATTCCCTAAATAGGACTAAACATTGATTTTCTACCCTAAATACCCCTAAGAGTATTAATTCATAATGAAATGCTTTAATTCATAATAAAATCACAAAAAACGTAAAAAAATATTTAAAAAACGTAAAAAAATTAAAAAAAAATAATAAAACATTTATAAAATAAAAAATTTAATTTTTTATTTTTTTTAATATTTTTAAAAAAATAATAAAAAATAGTAAAAACCCATAAAAAATGAAAAAAATTATGGATACCTTTCTCACCGCCTCCCGCCGCCTCCCAGCACCACCACCTCCGATTGGTGAAATTTATTCCACTTTTGGTAAAAAAATGCCATATTTTTCTGAAAATGCCAAAAAGATGGTATAATTACTCTTCAATATGCCAACATTTTCATTGAATATGCCATCATTATGGCATTATTTAAAATGTTGGCATATTTTTGTCCGGTGATGGGAGATGGTGGTGCTGGGGGGTGGCAGGGGTGGTAATGTTTTTTTTTATTTTTATGATTTTTTTATTTATTTTTTATTTTATTTTTAATTTTTTTTTAAAAAAATATTTTTATTAATTTTCTATTATTGTTTTACAATTTTTAGTATTTTTTTCGATTTTTATTAATTTTTTTATGATTTTATTATTAATTAAAATATTTCACAAGTTACAAGAGTATATTTGTCCAAACACACATAAATAGTCCTATTAAGGGAATTTAAAAAATGTAGTCATATTTGTGCAATTTTGCCACTTTATAGTCTTATTTAAGGAATTGACTCTAAATATAATTACAGTCAAAATTATGCGTTGGCAAACGTAAAAGTCAAACTGTTGCAAGAATTAAAGAACGGAAGATACTAGTCGTTTTTTTCTGTTGTTTTTATTATGGTTTCTGTTATTTCTCTTTCTCTCAAAGTCAAACTTTTTTTTCAGAAAAAAGCGCAATCCAGGCCTGCTCAAAGCACGTGCAACAGCCCATAAATGTGAGTTGTATTAGATTATTTGTAGCCTATAACAGTATAACTGTAACCTATTCGGCCAGATTGGATCTTGTCCTCTTGCGATTTAGGCAACCAGCGAAGAGCCGAAGAACGAACGAAGCTATCAACCCAGAGGTTATTATTTATTATGGTCTCTTGAAACTTCTACAAAGTTGATCGGATACGGTGAATAATAAAGTAAGGTTTGTGGAGAGAAAGAGAAATAACAGAAACCATAATAAAAACAACAAAGTTTAGGGATGGAGGGAGAACTTATTAGGTGCGGATAATTTGTAATTGAGTTTAACAAATTGATAATATCAGTTTAATAGGTATTTTGGACGTTAGTTTTGAATTTGGGTTAAGCATATCGACATTATTAGGTTGTTAAGTTGTTAATTATATACTCCAGTAATTGAGTTCACCAAATATATGCTATTTACAATGTGATTTAAGGAAGCCTATGTGGTATTTATTTTTGTTGTTTTTTGTGAAGTGTATCTGTGTAATTGCATGATGGCAAAAACAAAGCGTACAAGTACACTCCATGAAAAGACGCCTAAAGTGAGTCATATGCGGTAAGTTTATCTTGCTGGTATGAACTATATGTCTTCCTATGGTTTAAGCTTTTCTAATCTTTATATATTTTCGGTTTTGAAACTAGTTCAAAAATATATATTGAGGTATGAGTTATTAATCAACTGACCCATCTTCTTTTTTATGTTTCAACTGAAGGAAGAGAGGAGTTGGTATCAGGGCCAAAAGGTGAGTAAGGCATTAAAGCCATTACTTTTGCTGCAGTTGCTTCTATAGTAACGATTCCTCAGAGTCCATGGCTGACATGCAATTGCTTGTCAAGGTTTTTCGAAGTTATTCACCATTAAAACATAACTATTACTACGTATCGTTTAATATTTATATCTTTGCAGATATATATCATGTAGTACATGATAATAAATTATTTGTACGTTGTTATGCTCTCACACTTCTGTTTGCTCTTCTAATGGATACATTTAATAAATAATTGAGTTTGGTATCGCATTATGCAGGCCTGGCAGCAAACCTTCAACTCAAAAGAGATTAACCAAATTACAGAAGGAACAAATGCAGTGGGATGAGGAATTTCATAAATTATCAGAATTTGCGTTAAGAGACTACAATGATAAACATGTTCTTGCTCTGAACTAATCGCTGTTTCTATTTATTTTGTTAATTACTCCCCATGTTCTTTGGTAAGTGGCTTTAGAGAGAGATTAAATATGCTTTCAACTAGATGTCTTTTCGAAATAGAGAAAAATAATGGCTTGTGATTCTCCCTCTTTAAATGAATAGTAATCTACTTAGTACACCCTCCTTTCCAATAATTTTCTCTCCAATTCCCCTTTTCCACTTTTACCAAAATTTTCTTCATGGTTCCAGTTTTACTTTAAAGGAAAACAATGATGTTATTAATATTGCTTCTTTCTTTATAATTTTTTTAGATACATCGGAAGGAAACGAAAAAACCAAGCTTAGCATCTAATTTTCTCTAAACCATTTTCATCCTCCCACAAAGTTTGTTTAATCCAATCAGGAGCCATATCTAGTATTGTAAGTCCCTAGTTGGCCTCGTGTACCTGGTTAGCTAGCTTATCTGCACACCTGTTACCTTCCCGCAGTGTGTGTTGAAGACCGATGAATGTTTCCTCTTCAAGAAGCTTCTTGCGATCTCGCATAAGCACTCTGGTATCTGATCTGTTAGATCCATATTTTTTTACCACTTTAATCATGCTTTCGGAGTCAACCTCCACAACAACAAGTTAAGATATTTTATCAAAAGAAGACTTTGATCGGTGATTCAAGGAAAAACACAGATGACATGAAAGCCCAGTTTCTAAGAAGTATGGGCATCTTAGTTGGGAAGCTCAAGGGTATAAGGGGGACTGCGACAGTGAATTGTGGGCGCGGTGTTTGGGGTGGAGAATATGTGTTTAAACGAAGTGGCCCAACTGCGTTGTATGTAGCAATGGTTTCCGATTCTGATAATCTGGAGAGCTTGGGGACACACAAAATGCAGGCTGAAAATCTGCTCCTTCAGGTATTGCAGCACTTTGATCAGCGGACTGAGTGTTCAAAGCTTTCTATGTGGGGAAATGCGACATGGACTTTGTCAAACTTCGGTCAAGGCGGACAGCTCTGTGAAATTGCGTTATGTACTGATCCAAGAATTGTTATTGTGGGCCTTGAAGGGTTGGAGAACATTCTGATAGAAGGCAAAGCTGACAAAGAGAAGGAATTGAAGGAAGGGATCAATTCAGAATCGAGTGTTTATCTCCAGCTTCCACTCTTGTATATGATAAAAGAAGGGACAATGAAGAATCAGTTCATGAAGTTCAGGGTTCTGAAATTTGAAAGATACTGGAAAGGAAGAGGTGCAAAACAGAAGAAGCTGTTCATCAGAATTGTCTCCTATGACCCACCTTGAGGACAAGGTGGTTGTCAAAGGGGGGAGTGATGATAGAGACCTAAGAATATTATTAAATCTTTTAATATTGTGTAATAAAGGGCTTTAGGCCCTATAGCTAAGTGGTGGTGGGCTGGCCCATTAGAGAATGAATAAATAACGTAGGCTGGGAATAGAAGAGGGAGGTTGGAATTATCGGGCTTAGGACTGGGACTTGGGAGCTGGCATCCTCTAACTGCCTTTGTATCTCTCTCTCTTTTGTTATACGTACTATCAATACTATTTCTCTCTCTCGTTTCCGCCATTGTTCTTCCCTTTTGTGTTGCTCGGATTACTCTGTTCAGGTTGGGGTCCTAACATTGGTATCAGAGCATTCGTTCCTGTAGCCTATCAACGGTCGATACACGCAGAGCGATGGAAGCAAGATTGGAGAAATTGGAGCTTGAGTTGGCGAGGCGGTCCGCCAACATGAAGCGCAATTTTGAGAGTTATCGCGAGGAGATGCAGAACTATCGGAATGAAAGGCAGAAAATGTTCGCGGAATTGGGCGAATTGATACTGCAGTGGAACAATAAGCATGAGCGAGGAAGGTCGAGGACCATAAAACACTGTCACGACTCAAAAAAAAAAGACTAGTTCGCAAACAGCTCCTCAACGCCCGCGGACTTCGTCGAGTTTGCAGAATTCGTCGTTACTTGATTCGCTAAGTTCGCAAGCTTCATCTCAAACGCTAACCGTTTCTACCAGTTCGAGATGGCTAACCGAGCATCATCGATCTTCATCGCCAGTCAATTCCCACCCTGCGCAAGACTGGTTTATTAATTCGCAGATGTCCTCGCAAATTTCATCGAAGGATTCTGAGTCGGCTCAGGTTTCTGCGCAGGAGGTTTTATTGTTGACACCAAATCTGGAATGTAAACAGGCAGATACTTCAGTTCTGGAATCAGACGAGGATACTATCCAATTGAAGGGACAATCATCAGATAATATGGAAGAGACCGAAGTGACCAAACCTAATAGTCCTTACAGCCAGGAAGAAATTCATAGCTACCCCACCGATCCTGTCTTGGAACTGAACAACATTACCAAAGGGGCTGATGAGGAAGTTATGTATCATCCACATATCCTTACCTATGAGGGTCAGAGGTATGCTCCTATACTGGAACGAAATCCAGAATATTTTAAATCTCTGTTGAGTAGAGTTCAAGGACATGAGTTGGGGGTTATAGGGAATATTGTGCTCCATTATTCATCAGACAGAATTGTGAAAGGGATGAATAAGTGGGATGCCTTCAGAATTGATGGTGAAACCTCTGGGAAGTATGTCCAGAATGGGCTGGGAATAAGAATTATTGGGAAGTGGAGGGAAAAGGTTTACTATGATACTGATGATAATGATAATGTTGAAGTGTTTGTAAGGATTAACAATGACATCAATCCTGCTATCTTCCACAAGGCATTGATAATTGGTCAAAAGGTAAGGAGTATGCCAGTAGTTTGCATACCTTTGCAAAGGGGAGTTGCAGATTTTGACTATAGCTTTCATATGACAATTGCGGGTCAAGGGGTTAAGATACTCAGGACAAGAGAGGAGGATTGGGAATTGGAAGACAATGTTCACACACTTACTAATACAAGTGGGATGGAGAAATATGTTGGAAAGGTTGACAGTCAGAACCTAGCCAGTAGGGGTGAAGGTGTTGTATTATTCCGGGGCAACTTAACAAGGCAATTGGGGATGACAGTTAAGGGCTACAGCTACAGTTTGATACCTTCTGCCATTTCGGACTCCTTTAATTCCGGACTGAGATGGGCTGGTAAGTTTATTCTCGTATACCAGTTGTATACAAGCAGTGTGAACCTGGACTGTAAGAATCAAGCTGCTGTAGTTAATGTTTGCAACAGAGAGCACCTCATGGATTATTTGTTAAGGCCAGAAATTGCTAGTGATGCATCAATTTGTAGAAATCTTGTTCTTGGTCAGGCTGCACTCTTACAATTGCTAAGTCAGTCAAATGAGAAAAGGGAAGGCATATCTGAGACTGCGGAGATTGTATACTTCACTAACCTTTTTGATAGTTCCATGGAGTCTCACTTGGACTGTCCTAAACTGTTTCCTGAGTTGAACTGTACTTCAGGAACATCGTTGAGAGCGATGCAGGAAAGGGGAACACAGGAGCAGCCAGTCCCAAAACGCATTCCGAGATTCAACATGCGACAACTTGAGATGCCCGAGTTGATGCAGATTCAAACCACCTTATATGAAGCAAGGTTTGGACCTCTGCCATATGAAATTATGATTCATTTATATGGGTGTTATGATGCCCAACAGATCGGTGATTCAAGGAAAAACACAGATGACATGAAAGCCCAGTTTCTAAGAAGTATGGGCATCTTAGTTGGGAAGCTCAAGGGTATAAGGGGGACTGCGACAGTGAATTGTGGGCGCGGTGTTTGGGGTGGAGAATATGTGTTTAAACGAAGTGGCCCAACTGCGTTGTATGTAGCAATGGTTTCCGATTCTGATAATCTGGAGAGCTTGGGGACACACAAAATGCAGGCTGAAAATCTGCTCCTTCAGGTATTGCAGCACTTTGATCAGCGGACTGAGTGTTCAAAGCTTTCTATGTGGGGAAATGCGACATGGACTTTGTCAAACTTCGGTCAAGGCGGACAGCTCTGTGAAATTGCGTTATGTACTGATCCAAGAATTGTTATTGTGGGCCTTGAAGGGTTGGAGAACATTCTGATAGAAGGCAAAGCTGACAAAGAGAAGGAATTGAAGGAAGGGATCAATTCAGAATCGAGTGTTTATCTCCAGCTTCCACTCTTGTATATGATAAAAGAAGGGACAATGAAGAATCAGTTCATGAAGTTCAGGGTTCTGAAATTTGAAAGATACTGGAAAGGAAGAGGTGCAAAACAGAAGAAGCTGTTCATCAGAATTGTCTCCTATGACCCACCTTGAGGACAAGGTGGTTGTCAAAGGGGGGAGTGATGATAGAGACCTAAGAATATTATTAAATCTTTTAATATTGTGTAATAAAGGGCTTTAGGCCCTATAGCTAAGTGGTGGTGGGCTGGCCCATTAGAGAATGAATAAATAACGTAGGCTGGGAATAGAAGAGGGAGGTTGGAATTATCGGGCTTAGGACTGGGACTTGGGAGCTGGCATCCTCTAACTGCCTTTGTATCTCTCTCTCTTTTGTTATACGTACTATCAATACTATTTCTCTCTCTCGTTTCCGCCATTGTTCTTCCCTTTTGTGTTGCTCGGATTACTCTGTTCAGGTTGGGGTCCTAACAGAAGCTTCTTGCGATCTCGCATAAGCACTCTGGTATCTGATCTGTTAGATCCATATTTTTTTACCACTTTAATCATGCTTTCGGAGTCAACCTCCACAACAACAAGTTAAGATATTTTATCAAAAGAAGACTTTGACGTAGACCCCATAGCTCCGCCTTTAAACGATCTGTCTTATCAATTTTCACCATGAACCCACATACAAATTCCCTTTCATGCTTTCTTATAATACAACCATCTCAATTTAATATGAGATATCCTTCAATGGTGGACTCCATTTAACAACTTTTGCTTCCTTAAGATTTTCAATGCTTTTCCTTATTGCATTATCCGCATATTCGACTGCCAGAGCATGGGCCGGTGTACCCACTCGTTCAGCCACCAGCGCAGTTCTTTCAAAAACCCAAGCATTCCGTGCCTTCGAAATGCACCAAAGGATGTGGACAAAACGCGTAGCATGTGGATTCTCACTACTCATACTCTTATCCTTACAGTGGCTATGAACCCAATCTGATGTACTCTACTCATACTCCCACCTCTTCCTCTAACCAGACTAGTGAGACTACTAAATGCCCTTTTCCAACAATCTGCAGCAGAATTACAGTCTGAGAACATATGAATTCCTGTCTCCTCCTCTTCATTGCAGATGTGACAAACACAATCCTACGAGATATGCCGTTTGACTCTTTGAACCCCAGTCTTCACCACCAACCAAATAAAACATTGGATTCTCTCTCAAGCATCAATCTTCCAAATCCACTCCAAGTTTACACTTTGCTGTCGGCTTGTCGCATCAAACTCGCCTCGTATGCTGTCTTTACAATAAAAATTCTTGAGTCTGAGTAACGCCAAAAGAAGTGATCTTAATATCCTTCACCCACCGGTAGAGGAATAGCTAGCGCAGTATCCACCACATCCGCCGGAAGCAAGCTTTCCAGTTTCGTAATATTTCAGCTACCATTTTGGTTAATACAATCTGCTACCTTCACATATCTGGCAGTAGCGGGTCGTGGAGAACCAATATCCTCGTAGAGGGGTCTATCTCCAACGCAATGATCAAACCAAAAGAGGACATCTTCTCCAGTTCCAACCAACCAACCGGTTCCACTTTTGAGGATGCCCCGACACTTAAGAATATCTTGCCACACATGAGAAGTACCATATTTCCTCTCCACTGACCAAAACGAAGCATCCTTCATGTACTTAGCCCTTATAACTCTCACCCATAACTTCGGGGTGTTCATTATAGTCCCCCAGCCCAATTTTGTGACTAGGGCTACGTTATTGTCCCTAGCTTTTCTCATTCCTAGACCTCCCCAATCTTTACGTAAGCAAACCTCATCCCAGTTAACTAGGTGAACTTAACTGTCTGTGCCAAGACTGCCCCAAAGAAAATCCCTGTTTACTTTGTCGATTCTATCACAAATGCTTACCGGTAATAACATACTTTGCATGACATGTTGTGGAATAGTTGCTGATACTGCCTGAATCAGCGTCTTCCGTCCTGCCAAAATTAGGGTCTTTTCCTTCCAAGAAGTCGATTTTCTTTTTACCCGATCCAAAATAAATGAGAACTTATTTTTATTTCTTCTGTCGTGTATGATAGGGGTTCCTAGACCCAGCTCGGTTGTAGCCTTAACCCCGAAAATTTCTTGAAGATGTTGAGTCAAACCTCCTTCTAGATTTGGTGAGAAGAAGACCCTAGACTTGCTCTTATTAATCACCAGACCTGAGTCCTCTGAAAATTTCTGAATTGTGCTTAACATGTTCCTTGTTTGAAGACTCAAAGCTTCCCCGAAAAACATTAGATCATCTGCGAGAAATAGATGTGATACCCTGATTCTTGGTTTTCCAACACTTATTTGTTTCCATCTCTTATTCTCAACTTCCTTGATAATAAGATGAGATATGCTCTACGGCTAGAATAAAAAGATATGGTGAAACTGCCCCCCCTCCCCGTCGTAATCCTCTTTTTGGCTGGATCTCTTGTAGAGTCCACCCATTCCAGATAATCCCGATCTTCATGTCTTTTAAAGAGTTCATAGCCAGCCTTGTAAAGGGTGTCCCGAACCCAAAATCAACCAAAGTTTTCTCCATAAACTGCCATCTTAAGCAATCATATGCCTTTTCAAGGTCTAGTTTCATGACATCATCACCAACCTTGCTTTGTTCTCCCTTTTAGCATTCAAAGTGTGGATGATCCCTTAAGTAAGAATAAGAATAATGTTATCTGTCGCACTATGCTGGGGAAGCAAACTGCTTTGGAAAGGGCCAATTAAGTCCACAATCCAACTCCTCATTCGATTGACTAGAAGTTTTGAAACCACTTTATCAATAACGTTAAGCAAAGTGGTGGGTCTGCGATTGCTTGCATCTTCAGGATTTTTCCCTTTAGGAATAAGCACCATGAATGATTTCAGTATCTGGGAAGAAATATTTCCTGCACGCAATGCGGTGTTCACAAAAGCCCTGTACCGTAGGTCCCACTGTACTTCTATTTTTTTGTGAACTGCCACTGGAATTCCATCCGGGGCCGGACTACTGAAACTTTTCATACCAAAAATGGTCTCTCTATTCTTCTTTTCTGAGATTGCTTCCCTCATAAGGCCGTTACTTTGTTCTTCAGAAATTTTTGGACACTCCAAAATATTCAGCTGCTCACTCATACACCCATCATACTCACCAAAAAGTTTCTCAAAGTAATCCCTGATATGGGCAGCCATCTCCTCCTGGTTACTGCGCCAACTATCATTTATCTTGAATCTACCAATAATTTTCTTGCTATGGTGAATTAAGGAAGATTTATGGAAGAAACTCGTGTTTTGGTCTCCAGCTATAGTCCAGTTCATCTGGGCTCGTTGAAACCACAACGTTCCCCCCCTGTCTAATATTTTGTCATATTCTTCCAACAAATTAATCTCCAGTACCTGTTCAGCATGTGAATTTGTGTAGTTAGGAGATTTTTGTATCCCCTGGATCCTCGCCTAACGGTGATGTTTCTGACGAAATATATCCCCGAAGCTTCTTTACTCCATGCCTTACTGGATGGCATACTTCTTTCTTTTTTTTAAATAAACCTCAACCATTCCATGCCCTTTTCTTAATAATTTTGACAACATCCAACTGTGAATAAAGCCTAGAAAGTTTTGTTGTTCCAATTATTTGCATGTAAAGGTCTAAAGTTACACTTAATGGAGAACAGTGGGAGTATGCTTATTGATAATTCAGTTGTATGCTGACATCTGTACGTATGTGTGTGTTTGTATGCGTACACACACGCACATTTTTGATTGAGGCACTAGGGAACAGACTTGGTGTTATGTAGCATTTTGCGCTACGAAACTTTTGGTGCCCGGCGTGGTTATACTGTGGGCTTTGAGCGAAGATTCACACACTGGACTCATATCAACTTTTATGCTAGGCGCATTGATGCTGATCCCAGTGACAAACCACTGCTTTTGTTCGCTGAACTATATTTAGGCTTTGATGAAGACAATAAGAATGTTCTTGCTCGATTGTCGCTTGTTACACCTATGGGGAATGGTAATGCATTTCTTTCCCGACATTACTTCAATGTTCATTAACAGACAAACGGAATTATGACAAATGATCCTGATTGGTTAATCATGATGTTCTGACTGTTTAAGCTAATGGGTTTGGTGCAGAGTCTGGTTGTTCACGTTGCCCATCTCCCATCATTCAGCATCCGTCTCATGAATTTCATGGAGGTTTTATGCAGAATTGTCTATTGAAGGGAGTTGAGGGCATGGAGAGTATCGGCAGAACTAGGTCTGGTAAATCAGATCGTTTTAGTTATTTTGACAGTAATTTTCTTCTTTTGCTCAGATTAGCATGCTGCTCTCACAGTGTTTGTGAAGTTGTTCTTCCTTCAACCTACTGCAATTGTTTTGCAAATTTTTTCTTTGACTTATCATCATACTGTAAATGTGCAGTGGCTCTGGACCCAATTAAGTACAGGGGTTTTAGCTGTACTATATATTCACATATGCGTGTAGTAATATGAGTATTGGTGTACTTGGGGACTCGTTGCAAGAATAAATAAGTGCTTTTCAGGTTTTTGCTAAAAAGAAGATGAAATTGGTGTTTTGAAACGATGACTTCTCTTTAGATCAAGCATTGCAAAGCTAAAAGCTGGAAGCTTTTGGAGTGTTGCTTTAAAGTGCTTTTCACTTTTTCTACTACACAAAAAGTACTTTTTTTACTAAACACTTGTCAGTTTTACTTTTTCAAAATCACTTTTTTTCAAACACTACCGGCTTTTACTATTAAACACTTCCTAGAAAAGCAGTTCAAAATTTTACTTTTTAAAAGTAGAAGCAAGTAAGCAACCACAAACATTCCCTTGCTCTACACCTGTTTCTTATAATGAATTAGCAGTTACCTATTTGTGAACTAAACGATATATACCAAGCTTCATTACATATGGTATTGTGAATATCAGCTCTCTGCAGTTTGACTCTCCTTCCATAGGATATAACGAGGACGTACTTTCCATCATCCCAACCACACTTGTAAATATATGTTTGATATCCTCTGTAGTCTAAACCCTTTTGGTGTTTTCTAGTCACGTTGGTTCCAGTACATGTGACTAAGGGATTCTTATGTAAATAATTGATTGCAGGTCTGTTCAAAAGACAGCGACCAAAAAACGGACCCATGACATTTCTGATTTGGCAAAATTTGCATTAGAAGATTACAATAAAAAGCATGGAACAAAGTTGGAGTATGTTAAGGCCGTGGAGCGCAATAGTTTTTCATGCATGGGTCTTTCTATGGACTTCAGAGAAAGGTATACAAGCTGGGAGCATATGAATTTTGTGGCTAGACGCCGTAAGGGTGATGGTAGCTATGAAGACCTGTTTTTGTTTGCTGAACTCTATTTAGGAGATGGTGAAAATAAACATGTGCTCGCCACATTGTCAGCTGTGAATGAGAATCTTACTCTTAATGGTAATACTGCTCTTTTATTTCCCCATACAAACACAAATATACAGACACCCTCATTGTTATTTTTTAACGAGCTGACTCGGGTTATAATCTTGACCGAGAGGCTCACTCACTGTCTGCCTAACTCGTTAACACCCGTGCTCTAATGGTTCATATAGCCTGACCAGGCTTTTCTTGATATGGTTGTGTGACATATTTAGTGATATAATCCCTCATCCAGATACACACTCAATTTGGTTCTCAACAATTTATTGGATGTAAATCTGTCGCCAACTATGAATTATTGACCCAATTTAGTAATAGTGCATATTTGGTGTAAATAATCAGGATATTTTTGTTTGTCCAATAAATTTAGACCCGTTTCAGTCTTCAGCATACATGTTTTCTTCATTAGTGGGGAATGTGGATGATGACTAAGCGGATATAATAAGGCAGCATCAGAATCTCTGTTTTTGGGTAAACTGTAGGAGATACTTTAATTTTATATTGGTGGGGTAAATTATTATAGGATGTTTTCAATTGGACTGGTTTCACGCTATACCATATCAGACTTGACCAGATTAGGCTTGGACAATAGTAAAATGTACATAACCAGTTGTTACAACATACAGATAGGTGTATTGTCCAAGGTTAGGCTTGGACAATAGTAAAATGTACATAACCATTCTCAACTATCATATCAGACCATATAAGACTCGCATGATAGTAAAATACACCTAATACAAGCCCCATCCAGAATAGAAAAGATTTTATGTGTCCGTGTGAAAACATGTATAATCGCATCTTAATGTGGCTCGTCTGAATGCTGTTGATCTGAATGCTTTAGTTTATTGTTTTTTTTACAGAGAGTGGATGTCTCTATTGCCCAAATACCATTCGTCACCCTGGTCATCATTATCTGTATTGTGATGTTAGTTGTTACAAACGGTGTGTCTGGACAAAAAGGAATACATGACTCCTCTATGGAATGCCATGGACTTGTGTTGCCATCATCACTGATGTTCTTGCACGTTTCTACTAATTTCCAGTAGCCTACATGAAGTGGTAATCCCTACTTTGCTGGAATGGTCAACCTGTAAACATTTTGAACTCTAGTTAGCACTTTCAAGTTCTGTAATCACGATTGCAGCCATGACTTAGCTGAGTATTGTGTATCATTGTTGGAAAGGAAAGATGCGTAAGGTGTCATGATCTGTATTCCGTAATCCGCATTATTCTTGAATGTGAATTTGCATTGGACGCTAAGTTCGACATAAGTAATTGGTTCTGTACTTTCTCTATATATGATTGCAATCATTATCGGTTTTTAGTTTTAGCATTTGTAACTTTATTATATAATGCTTCGTTCAGAAATTGGAATGCAGTGATTTGCCATCATTTTATAGGGTTATGTTGAGATAATGTTGAGAGAATGAACAGTGCCATCGCTGCCTATTAATCTATTATTTCACTCCCCTTTTTACTTTTCATGAACCTAAGACCAATTTTTTTAATATAAATGTACTAAGATTTTTTGTCATTGTTATATATAGGGGTGTTTGGAACCGATTCTGCTTCAGTTTTTTTTTTTTCAAGTAGAACCAGAATCAATTTTCAGAAGCGGGTCTTCCCAAAATTCTAAAACTGATTGTAGGAGTAAACTAGAGCATCAGAATCACTTTTGCACTTTCATCTAAACACTCCAATTTCTGCTTCTGTTCCATGAAGGAGAAAAGGCGGTTTTAAAGAATTAGATCCAAAAACTCCCATTAATAATGAATTTACTAGATGTAAATATTATACAGAGTAGAAATTAGTTTATGTTATAATCGAATGAGTATAACGATTAAAAGAAATGAACATAAAAAACATTATATGAGCACATTAGATAATTTAATCGAGCTTTTGAATTTTCGATGCTCATTTTGTAAGTTATATGTGTTCATCTAGTAGTTAGTTTATGTTCATTTCAAAATGTGATATCATTGCATATTTCAAAAGTATCATACTACATAAAGTATTACATTAGAGAGTACTCTTCCGGTCAGGAATTCCTGACATGAACCACCGTCTGGACGGCGGCGTTTGGCCGCCTTCCGGGTGAAATTTTTCAATGAAATTTTTATCACATGTTCTCCATCAAGTCTAGTTTATCCACAAAACAATTCAGCCAAAAAACATTTGACGACCTTCCCGGATGAGTTTTTGGATGAAATTTTTTGTAGATAAACTAGACTTGACGGAGAACATGTCATAAAAATTTCATAAAAAAAAGCCACCGGGAAGGCGGCCAAACGCCGCTGTCCGGATGGCGGTTCCTGTCCGGAATTCCGGACATGAACATTTGTGTTACATTAGATTGACATGAGAATATGAGATTGCTTATATAGATTTTTACAAAAAAAAACTAATAATATATGTCAATTGTAGACATCTATATCTACACACACAACACCCCGTCCTATAAAATTCTTCCAACTTTTCTTTTCGGGTGTCCCAAAAAATTATTCCCATTTACCATTTTTGGACAATTTGTTTGGTTCACATTCATTTTACCTTTTTCTTACATAACTACAATCATACATTTCTATTTTATTCCATTTTCTTGATAAGCGTGCCAAGTCAAAGTTGGAAGAATTTATTGGGACAAAGGAATTAACAAAATAGTGGAAGGAAGATTTTTGGCAGGAACACTGTAGCTATGTTTTGGGGACGTGAGTTTGATTAATATTTTAGTTGGAACATGCACTGATCCACGGAATATTTTTTCCATTAATGCTTGCAAGAATCTATCTTTTCATGTTCCGCACTCCTAAATAGTTCACCTTATTCTCGGATTTCTGGAAAATTTCTATGACATCTACTGGGCTAATACAAAAAGGATCGATGTTATATTGATCAGGGGTAATTAGATTTATTTTCCATTCAAGCGCCCGTCTGTCCCTCTAGTTAGGGTTTTAGTTCTTCCGTCAATCGGTAAATTGGACGGCTTTTCGATTCGGGGTTTCTCCGTTGCCGAAGTATCAGAAACAGATAGGAGGTTCGGGAACGTGGATGGCAGTGGTGCTCTGGAAGAAGGAGCAAAAGTTTTATTTTATTGTTCTTTTGCTTTTCAATTTCTTTAGTCATAATGTTTGCTTCCCCTCTTAATATGTTTTTTTCTAGACTGTGGATTTGGATTTCGGTGATGAAAGAACTGTATTAAACGTCTTTGGCTCATTTGCGCCCATTAACGGATCAACGAGTTATATTGCTTCTATAAAGGTGATAAGCTCTGAGTCTGGTTCGAGGGTCGACGGTTTGCTAGAAGGTTTTTGGTCTTCTTACCTACCATCTAAATGATGTATTATCGTGTGCATAATGCATTGTTTATACTTTATATTGGGGTTGAAGACACCGAGTTTCTCAATTCTCAAGAGTTACCATGTTACACTTCAAAAAAAGTTGTTTAATAATAAATGAGTCAAGCACCTTGTGGTTCCATGGACACTCCCAAGAAGAATGTCGTTCGAAACTTATTCCAATCAATAATGTTGACATTTTACAAAGAAGTATTGAACAAATATCATAAAAAGGGCTATAAAGTCTAGCTAAAATAATAATAATAATAATAATAATAATAATAATAATAATAATAATAATAATAATACTCCGTCCCATAATGGTTGTCCACTTTCAATTTGGCACGATTATTAATAAAGTGGTTGAAAAGTAAAAGTTGTGGTTGAGATTTGAGTATAATAAAGTGAATTGATAAGAACCACATATTTCATCCAAAAAAGGAAACAAGACATTCATTTTGGGACAACCCAAAAAGGAAAGCAGGACAACCAATTTGGTAACTTGCAAAAATCAGTTAACTTGCAAAATGTTCCTGTCAGGTATACCTGACAGGAACTGCCGTCCGGCCTCCTCCTTTTGGGGGCCTTCCCGGTGGAATTTTTTGATGAAATTTTTTGAGCATGTTCCTCATCAAGTCTAGTTTGTCCATACCAAATATCAGCTCAAAATTAGATTGGGAATGTTTACAAATGATTTTTGCAAGTTAACTGGTCCGGAATATGTATTTTCCGGACCAGTTAACTTGCAAAAATCATTTGATGACCTTCCCGATCGAATTTTGAGCTGAAATTTGGTATGGACAAACTAGACTTGATGGGGAACATGATCAAAAAATTTCATCAAAAACATCCACCGGGAAGGTGCCCAAACGTGCTCGGCCGGACGTGGCAGCCCGTCAGGCTGGCCTGATGATAAGTTTCATCAATATGTATATATATATATATAAATAGAGTGCTCTTCTCATCAGGCCGGCCTGACGGGATGTTCCGTCCGGCCGAGCCCATTTGGGCACCTTTCCGGTAGAATTTTTTGATGAAATTTTTTGAGCATGTTCCCCATCAAGTCTAGTTTGTCCATACCAAATTTCAGCTCAAAATTCGATCGGGAAGGTCGTCAAATGATTTTTGCAAGTTAACTGGTCCGGAAAATACATATTCCGGACCAGTTAACTTGCAAAAATCATTTGACAACCTTTCCGATAGAATTTTGAGCTGAAATTTGGTATGGACAAATCAGACTGGATGAGGAATATGCTCAAAAAATTTCATCAAAAAATTCCACCGGGAAGGTGCCCAAATGGGCTCGGCCGGACGGGGCAGCCCGTCAGGCCGGCCTGACATGATGATTTCTACACACACACACACACACACACACACACACACACACACACACACACACACACACACACACACACACACATATACAGAAAAGATCAGGTCCCTCCGGAGGGACGGGAGGGACCGTCCGAACTTTACTGTTTGGGGCGGTTCCCGGTGGAGTTTTTTGATGAAATTTTTGAGCATGTTCCTCATCAAGTCTAGTTTGTCCATACCAAATTTCAGCTCAAAATTCGACCGGGAAGGCAGTCAAATAAATTCTTGAAGCTTACTGTTTGTCCCAGTATATGCAGACTAACGATCAGCTAGATGGTATTTGTAAATAAACAGAAAGAAAGATTTCACAGAATGATATGAGATGTTATCGAGAACAGAGAAATCTTCTTTCTATTATGTCGAGAAGTATTTGGGCAGCGTAAGGCTAACGTGTATTCATCGATATCGGTACCTGTACACAAGGCGCATATTTATAGGCGCTGTATAGGTTACCGATTTAGGTAAACCTTGGAAGTTGGGCCAAGGCCTTTTTGGGCCTTATTCCCTTACCTTATTTATTACATAATAAATACTAATCTAATACCATAAATGGTATAACTAGTCTACTTTATTAAACAAGACATTACAGACAAACTTAACCCACAATAAAAGTTCTAACAATCTCCCCCTTTGTGGTCAAGTGCCGTCTTGCAGGGTTTCTTCACTTCTGAGCTATGTAATAGTTCTTTCTGAGATTAAGTGCATGCTCATAGTTTCTGAGTGAATTTCTTCTATCAAGTTGCTTTTCGATGGCCTGTAGGATGTTGTTAATTCTGTGCAGTTCCTTATGGTCTTCTTCAGTGGCTTCGGTCGATTGTTGTCCAAGTTCTTGTTTCTTTGATCGGAGCTGCTCCTGGATGATCTTCAAAGTTCCGTCACAATACTTGTTAATTACATCCACGAACATTAGACGCTTTTCGTTGTTATGATTGAGATAGATGACTGATACTGGATTGTCAAAGATATGATATGCTTCAAAGGATTCAAGGCCAGGTCTACTCAAGTCCGGTCTAATAAGATTCACCTTTGGATAGTTGTGCTCTATGGTCATCTGGAGGTCATGAGAGGCGTAGAACCGAACTTGTCTTGTCATGAATCTTTTTATAGCCTCGAAGCCTTCTTTAGCAAGTCTGTCTTTGTGAACTGGAAGCTCCCTGCATCTCATGAACATTTGATAAATGTCATCCATGTGTAGTAGAAAGAAGTCATTTTCTTGATAGGTGAACTCCGAGCCATCAGTACGTTGTAGACAAAAAATCATGAACTTAATTGTCTCCAGGTAATCTTCTGTGATCTCCAAGATTTTCAATATGGGACATCCACTTGTTGCAAGATTGTGATTTAGAAATTGTCGACGTTGCCCTGTGGATCTGTGTCCTAGCATATACAGGTTTCCTCCTCTGTATTTTCCTTTCAGGTGATTGATTCCTTGCATTTTTAATTCACTGAACTGCTTGACTTTTTCTGGTTGTCTCCAAATCTTCTCTCGAATTTCTTCAAGAAAGGGGGCTTTGATCCTTATGATTTCCCATTTTTCTTTAGTTGGTTCTGGTTCCTTGGGGTTTTCTTTTTGATTCTCCCCTTCCTTGAGTTCGTCTTTATCGAGTCCAATCATCATTGCATGGTATTTATTGAGGAACTCTCTGAGATGCCAGCTTCGACACATTTCGTACTGATCGG